AGAAAGCACATAAATCCTTCCTGGGATTTCATACCCATTTTTTCATTCTTAAAGGCTTGAGAATGAAGGGATGAAGCAGATGGGGTATAAGATTTTCATCTCTTTTGCTATATTTTCCCTCCAAAACTTAAATTGTGGGCTCCTCCCTCCCAATGTTTCATTAGTGTTGAGTATAAGAAATGCATTTCCCTGATGTGATTGCTGTTTGATGTGTGTGTTTTTAATACCAGACTTTCCAGGAACAGTAGGTCTAGCTAGGGATAGGTTTACTAGATGATGGCTACTGAATTTTGCTTTCAGAAACATATTCTGTGGGCTTTCCCAAAATGCAGAATTACTCTTTATACCTAAGAATCCCTTTAGTTAATATTTGTCCAATTATATATGGGCAGTTGCTGAGCTGGAATGAAAAAGGCTAGGCACCTGATATTGAAAGATACCTTATTTATTAATAAATTGAAAAACAAGCTCCGATTTTTATTTCTTAACAGACTCTGATATAGCATGGGAAGGGGAAAAGTACTTCTGACAAAATAATTTGGAGGGTATGTCATCTTGTGGACTAAAACCCTTTAAAAAAAGAAAAGGAAAAGGGGAAATCAGTAGTAGAGAACAGCAGGTCCTCTGAATGTATACCTTACAGGAGTGCGGGATCTCGACTCATTCACAAGAAATTACGCATGTCAGGATGGGAGGTCTGAGTGTTGCCCACCACAGCCAAGCCTTTCAGCTACCTGCTGTGAGCAGAGGTTACTCTTTCTACCTCCAAATGATTTGTTATTAATAGATGGCACATTCCTCCAGGTACTCAGATGATCAATAGCAACCAGAAAACCAGCAATAAAATACACAGATGTAGCATTTGTTTGCCTTTCAGTTTCTCAAGCTATTGAGTATGACTGTCACAATACAGCTAATGCTTGGCCACTTTTAATTCGTACTTCTGTTTGTTCCTTTGGCCTTTTACCTTTTACCACTAGATAAGTTTCAGCCCTGCAAAAGCCCACTTCTCCAGGAAGAGTAGCAATTCTTGCCTGACTCATCCTGTTTGCTTGACTCATCCTGTTTGAGCTACCTGGTAGCTCTCTAGGCCTGCATACCCAGCAGGGCTCCCAGGAAGCTGGAAGGCACTAGGCTGGGGAAGCTGTCGTAGGCATCTGGACCGGCAGACTAATGACCTTTTTCACTGACTGGCCCATCTTCTGTATTCCTCCACTGTGAGTGGTGCTGATGCTCACAGAGTGCAGCCGACCACTTCTGCTGCCCCATCTTCCCTTTGGCTAATGTGTCCCCGCTGGGTAAATGTGAGAATAGCGCTGTGGCAAAGCAATCCTGGAAGCAGCTGCATCTTTTCACAGATACTCTTCCAAGCAGAAGGGAGTCCCCTGCGGGGTTCCTGTTCTGTTCTGTTCTGAATCTGCTCTGGCATGTCACTAATAGGAATGCAAGTTGGGTTTCCATGTAGAAACTTTACTGAAACAGGCCTGGCTGAGTCAGAGCTAGGGGGCTGTCTGGTTCATCATTGTTATATTTATATTGGTCAGCCAGAGAACCCTACAAATTCCTCAGTCCAGGCCTGAATTCAGTGGCCATCCCATACTTCAGCCTTCCCCAACTGGTAGATCAGCACACCTGGGAGGGTCCAACTCCCATCATTCCCAGTGTGGGTGATGGAACCTGCAGTCCACCACATCTGGAGGGAGCCTGGTTGGAGGAAGTTGCCATACGATTTCCCACTGAGTAAATGCTACTCAGAGTCATGCTACGAACTTCTAAAGATAGTGCTTCCACTAAGCCGTCAGAGCCTATGGGAATGGAGTGCTATATAAAAACTGAAATAATAATAATAAAAAAATCATGGCCAATGGCCCCCTGGAAGACTTGTTCTCTCAAAGTTTGTCTTTTCCCCTTGTGAGGGTATCTAAGCTAATGGCTGTCAGCACATCTTGTGGCTGCAAGTTCTGCAAAATAATGGCATGGTACATGAAGTGCTTCCTTTAGAAAAGGGGTGCTGAACTGTGGATCTGGGAGGCTGAATCCAACCTGCCTGGGTTTTCCTGAATGATGGCACTCCCTTGATCTGGAGACTTCCTTTGGTGGATTCCTGGTGTTGGGATAGCATTGTTGCCCATTCTAAAAGGTTGAAATGCCTCTCCTAATAGTCAGTTACTGGCAGTGAGAGCTAAAGCTAAAATACGCTGTTATTTTGGCCCTGCCCTTTTTGCCTTCAGCCCTGCCCTCCACCATGATGCAGACCTCAGGTCAAAGGAGACTCAGCACCCCTGCTCTAGTCGGCCCTTTGCTGTCATGGCTGCCATTGTGTAACATTAGCATTATTCCTAATGAGCCATGCATGGCTGCACTGAAGCCAGGACTAGGGGAATTGATAGTCAGATGGAGGCGGGATGTGTTCTCTGGGCAATGAACTTGGCAGCTTTGGGTGAGATCCCCTATGCTGTGTTGAAGGCATCCTGGCTGCCATGGCTCGTTTCAGGCCCTGTTGTTGATCTTTTCGTCCTTAATCCCCCCGCCCGCCCGGCCCAGTGCTACTGGAAGGCATTGCTTCAAGTGACGTTAACAGCTCTTGCTACTGACACTATGTTTAAGGGACCCTATTACAGGAAGATAGTGTTGTATATTGCTCTGAGAATGGATTAGTGGCAAGAACCAGTCTAGAAGTTTGCCTGCCTCTTTTTCTCTTGGATCTGCTGCAGCACTATAGCCAGGCCTGTAGGAGAGGCAGCCCTTACCTGATGCTATCTATATGTTTTGGACTTCAGCTCTCAACTGTCTGGATTGCTGTCTCGTGTTGATAGGGATTAGAGGCCAAAACATCTGGAGGGAACCACCATAGAAAAGGTTGCCTTATAGCAAACTAGCAGAGTTGCTCATTTTCCCTGTATCCTTTTCCCATTTATATCACCTCTGAACCTTCATAGATACCTTCAGCATGTACATGTTGGTTACAAACATAGTGTCATGAGTCAAGTTTTCCTCCCTTTGCACATTCAAGGCAACAGACCGTTTTCTTTGCAAAATCCCTTTACTCACCAGAGCATGCCAGACAAATGCAACCCTCACAGAATGTATCCCTGTGCGTGCACAGAGAGGTCTGTTAAACCCAGTCTAATCATCTACTTCTGGAAACCCTCCTTTTGAGTACACCTGGGCCTGATTGCATCTGAAAGACCAGTTTGGAAATGAGCCCACCTCCTTTCTATATGTTTATCCTCTAATTGGTGTTCTTTCCTTTCCCAACGTTTTATCGTAGGGTCAAGTGTCCTACCACGTTTGTCTGACTCAGAGAAAGAACTCCTCTCCCATGTCCCCACCAGACACCTGTGAATCTTGGCTATTCCCAGAGCCTACCTGAGTGCTTAGGGATATTGGCTTTGCAATAAATGGTGCTTCTCAGAGTCTTGAAGCCCATGTCCCCAGGCTCCCTCTTCCACCATCCTCTGTCTTGGAATCCAGATTGGCATAACCTGTGAGTGCACACCAGGAACAACCGCCACCCTCATTCCCAACACATAACGGGAAGCCAATTGCTTTGAACTTTGCTTGCAAACTTTACAGCAGGATTTGACCTGCCCCTGTTGGAAGAGGACTGTTGATGTTTATTTCATTTTTATGGTTACTGTATTTCATTTTCATGCTGAAGCTCTTGCTAGACAAGGTGGATCTTTGGTCAAGATTGTTAATCTTCTTGACAGTGTGGGTGTCAGGTGAGCAGTGCGGTTCCCAAGACAGGAGGACCATCTAAACCTTGAACTGAAGCTATATGATCTTGTCCTGGAATACAAGAGGGAGGGAATAGCCCAGACTCCAAGTAGGCCAGTCAACAAACAGCACTTGCTTAATAATTTGATTTCTTTATACCAGGCTTAGAGAACATGTGATGCTTCACATGTTGGTGGACTGGAACTCCCATCATTCCCCCACTGGCTATGCTGGCTAGAGCTGATGGGAGTTGTAGTCTACTGACATCTGGGTCTCTGGATGCTGCCTTTCAAATGTGAACGTGACATAAAATAATTCATCAAACCTTGTCAAATTAACAACAGAATCGATAGTGGTTGATATCACTGACAACAGCCTATGCAGTACAATCCAAGATTCCCACTTCCCAACCAAACCTTGCTTAAATAAATGAGTGTTTTTAATCCATCAGAAAGCAGGCAACTTGAGCATATAGTTAGATAACATAATGGACTGCCCTGGAAGTTTGTGTTCCTAGCAGAGTCACCACTGATCCATTGGGAGAAGACCAGATGACTTTGGTGGCTCTCAGCAGCTCACCCTCTTGCTGTTCCTGAAGTGCCATCCACTTCAGCAGTCCTTGTCTCTGGCTGGCAGCTCACTGTGACAGAAAGTGGTGTTGACTGCTGAGAATTAGGTTGTAGTTGTTTTGGGGCTTCCCTGAATCCCTTTTGTGGTGTCAGGTGACAGAAGTGTCCCCCAGGAAGGGATTGGGTTGTAAAGGTTGTGTTTGCCCTTTCCTTGTGTGGACTGTGTCCAAGTGCTGATTCCTGATGCTTCGTGAGGGAGATATGATGCGAAGCAAACCTAACTATAGACCCTGCCACAATACCAGGCCCAGTCTATGCATATAAATTAATTGATTATGTTTCTTATACTGGCCAATAGCTGAAACTCTCTGGACAGTTCACAAAACAACTAAAACAAATGCATATATTGAAATATATATTACAAATAATTAAATAAACAGATGTACAGCAAAAAAGTAATAAAGCAATACTAGTCCTAAGATCTAAAAAACCCAACACAATTTTTAAAAAGCTGAAGGTGTATCAGATATCTTCTCTTATTTAAGCTATTGTCCCTCCCCTCCCTCAGTGCCACAAGCAGCACTTGGTTGTTTGGTCTTACCCATTCCAATGAGTTCTAAATACTTAGTTGTGATGAGATAAATATAGCTATAAAGTCTGTGATGGCGCTTTTAAAATCTTTCATGGAAATTTTCTCTCCTCATATCCCAGGTGGAAAGCCACGAATACCTTGTGAAATCTTCAATTGACCCAAGCCTCGCTGAGTTGAGAGAAAGTATGGATAAACTGGAGGAAAAAATGCAGAGTGTGCTAAAGACCTCAGCCAGGGAACTGAGTATGTTGGGATGGGATCCATCTTTTGCACAAAGTGCATTTAAGAGTTGGTTTTTAGTGCTACTTTTCAGCAGTCTTTCAGCAGCTCATGAATGCTTTATTTACTTGTAGATTAATTTTATATGTTAAGCAGGATTTGTTTGAAATCTGTTTGTGTCTGTGTATTAGGGTCTGCCTAGCAAGAAGAACCAGAGTAGTGGATGAGCTTCCTTGGAGGAGGCTTGTTCACCACTATTAATCTTTCCTTGCCATGTGGAGCTAGAGGAGAACTGGGTGTCTTTGAAGGCCTATTCTCAGCTCATGAACAAAACCCGGCAGGCTTTGCCAGCCCCTTGACTGAGTTCTGTGTACACCTTGGAACAGCTTTCCTCACTCTGTAACTACAACTGCTGTCACTACAGGAAGTATTGCTGCCTGGGGATGATGGTAGTTAGAGGCAAGCACTTTCAGAGGGCACCAGTTAAGGGTAGGTGGCCATAGGATATTCTCTGGTGTCCTGGATTCTCTGCAGTGGCCCAGTTTCTTTGCAGGTATGCAGGAACCTGTCAGCACCCAGAATAATATAAATGAGGTTGGCTGAAGACCGAACGCTTGAAAACTGTTGAGATGCTCACACCTGTTCCCGCTGTATGTAAGGAAAATCACAAAAGCTTTAAATGAGAGGTTTCTCACAGTTTTGCCAGGCATGGCATGAGTGGAGGCAGCCGGAGCCGGGCGTCAGACTAGATGGCCTGGGAGGCCCCTTTGGAGTCGCTGTGGTCCTATGTTCCTGTCTCTCTCTGGGTTTCATATGTAGCTCCCAAGCTTGCACTTTCAGAGTTGTGGTGTCCCTACTGTTAAATCAGTCAGTGTCTTCATGAATCCTGTGAAGTCCGTGTCTATGTGGCTGGCAGAGGATGCTTCTGGACTGTGGGTTACTTTCTGGAGCACCTACCCCGCACCAAGCAATCCTTTCAGGTGTTTTGGACTACAGTCCCCTTCATGTCTGATCATTGGGACATGTTGGCTGGGACAGCTGGAAGTTGTAGTCCAAGGCATCTGGAAGATGCCATGTTGAGGCAGGATTATCTAGAAATGTAAAGCACTTCTCCTGGCACTCGCACACGCACGCGCGCACACACACACACACACACGTAAGGTTTGTAACTTGGGGAGCAGGGAGGGGTGAGGCAGGGCACCTGGATCCTGTGAGGCATCTTGCTATCCATTGAATTTATCTTCTGCAGTAGCTCCAGCTCTGACAATCCGACACAAGTTAATAAATGTCCATGTTGGAATGTTCTCCTTCCCTTGCCAGTTGGTGTGGCCTTTGGTTTTATGATATTACTCTTTAAAAATATGTGCAGTATAAGGAACTGCACAGCTTAGAGCACCTCTTCTGTCTCCCTTAATCTAGCCAGGTAGGTGTCAGGACATGTTCCAAGCCCTGTGACTATGAGTTAACTTCTCAGCAGGTGGCCTGCTACAATATGAAGCAGCAAAACCCAGCCAAGAGAGAAATTTGACTCACTGAGTGGGGATAATGAAAATGTGATCTGTGTGTTTATAATACCACAATCAGTCATGCATTCTATTCCCCCCTCCCCATCCCTTCCCATGGAACAGGTTTAGAAGCTGGCAAGAGCATCAAATTAGAATGTAATGCGCAGTTCGGGCATTTTTTTCGAATTACTTACAAAGAAGAGAAGGTTTTGCGGAACAATCTGAAATACAAGATCTTGGAAACCCAGAAGAATGGGGTGAAGTTCTCCAACATGTAGGTGAAATGCAGAACTGTTATTTGCATTGAAATGGTGGGGAAAGTATGTACTACTTGGAAAAATCAGTGCACATTTGCAAGTGCTATTTTGTTTTGTACTTTTGTTCATGTACAGTGCATTGAAAGAGATCAACGAAGAATACATAAAGAGCAGGAAAGAATATGAAGAAATGCAGGATGTTGTTGTTAAAGAAATAATCAATGTTGCATCAGGTAAGGAATAAAGAAAAACTGGGTAGTTATACCTGAAACTGCCAGGTGTGTTCCGAATGACATTTCAACAGTTCTTTACTTTTGAAACCTACACATCAGCTAGATCGGGGCTGTAAATCCACTCTCATTGCCTCAGTCCTGGTTCTCTATTGGTAACATTGGCGTGTGACCCATTTCTCAGGCCTTTGGGCAAATCTGGCATGCAGCTATATGTGTACTTGGAGACCACTGAAATCAGGTGGTCATCTAAAATATATTTGTTAAAGTAACAGGCTGCAGAAGTGTTTACATAAATTTCCTGTGGAAATGCTCTAAATTCATCTCTTCCATCAATAGCAAGACACTGAGCTAGGCTTCCAAGCTGAACTCTGTTGAGTTTTCCTTTGGAGATTGCATAGCACTTCGCTTAAATTGTAGTTTTATACAATAATACAAGTGGTCTGCCTTCTAGAAATTTCAGACTCCTGTGAGGTCAGAGCAGCTCAGCCAATGGCTTTAAGACTGCAGGCATTGCCAGCCTGTTACTGTGCAACCCACACTTTTTTTTTTTAACTGAAGCAGTTATTATTTTTTGCTAAATGTGCTTTGGATTGGACAGTTCATATTGTTGCCTGCCTGCAGGTATCCTCAGACAGTGCCCACACAAAAACCTTCTGTTCATAAATAGATTCAAGTACCTGTAGTCCAGAGTCTCTTTTGTTGAGTTTTGCAGCTGTACCAGAATGTGCTTTTCCCTGGATGACTCTGAATGTATGCATAGGCAGTAAGCATCCTGTCTCTGAATAAGTCAGTAATACCAACAGTAGAATGGCTTATGACTTTTTCTTGCACAAACTGTTCCAGATTGCATCAGTACTAGGGTCTAGTGGCCCCCTAGGTCCTTGGACATGGGAACTAAAGGACCCAGCAGTTCCAGACAGTAAGCAAGGCTGAATAGATATCAAATTGGACTTTGTGACAATTAACAAAATGCAGACACAGGCGAAAACGCTAATAGCTGCTTCTTTGAAACCAACACACTTTTTAATGTCACCTGCTTTCTGTATTCCATTAACTGCACTGAGAGGTAACAATATTCTACATATACTTGAGGTACAGTTGTTGATTTTTTGTGAGACATCTTTTTTAAAAAGGTTCCTTCACATGACCTGTAGTGACCTGGTTTGCAACAACAATCCATGGGTTACTTGAGCTTCATAGTCAGCATGGCCACTGGCTGGGACTGCTGGGAGTTGTAATTCAAGATATCCGGAAGGCCCTACATTGGGAAAGGCTGCATGATGTATTTTAAGAATGTGTTTGTGAAGCAGCCACTGTGCAGAGCTTGCTCTAAATTCGTCTCCTTGGCAGTGGACTTCAGACAACCAATGCCTCTTTTATGATCGTTTAATTATACTTTAGCAGTGCTGTTCTTAATGTTGATCTTTAACCTTTTGTGAACTGCCTATGGAATTTTTAATTGATTGGGCAGGATGGACAATTCTTAAATAAGTATAGCTAACAGGTGGCTTGTGAAGGGACAGAACCTGGCCTCTGTGCTATTTGTGTTGCTTTGACAAAATGGCACAGGCAATTGAGTCTGTGTTCAAACAATTTAACTGAGGAGCACTCTAATGAAAAGCATCTACAAAATCCCCGTTTTTAATCTGCTCAGTGAATAGAAAAGGCGATTGTACCAATTAAATATTTTCATTCTTCATTTGTGGGTGTTCTGGTGTTTAGGAAGGCTGCAGAATTGACTGGCCTTGTTGTTTGATGGATTTTGTTGTATAATTGCCCGACATAAACATGCATAGTGCTTTATAGAGTGACACCAGGAGAAAAGCAGTTTCTTCCCGCAAGGAGTTTACAACCTACATTTCAGTGTTGGAGGGAGCACCAAGGAAAGGAGGAGGAAAGAGAGATAAGGAAGGGGGAGTATCATCACATGTAGATGACAAAGAATTTCTTACATTAGGGATAAAGACTGAAGGAGGCCAAAGTACAGTTCTTGCCTGCTTGGATCCTATAGAGCATCCTATATTGCAGGGATGAGGAACTGGTTGGGGTGGGATGGGTGCTGGATGATTCCCCCCACCAAGCCCACTGCGGGCCAGATGAGTTCCTGTACTGTAGCACCCTGCCATGTTAATTTGAGAAGTAAGCTACCAGGCTGATGCCCCCAATAGAACTTGGGTACTGCGAGCAATATTGCAAATGTCTCAGTGATTTTTTTTAATGATACTTCCATGTTTAATTAGCTAATGCCACCCACCTTTCTAACTTCTCCTTCTGGGGTAATATCTTTGCGATTGTTTCCCCAGTACCCTTTTGTGTGTAGAAATTGGTCTCTGGACATATGTCCAGATGCACTTGCACAATAGTTATTAGCCTTTGTCTTTGTACAATAAAATGCATACTTGGGAAACAGCACAAATCAAATTGGACTGTTTGGTGTGTCTCTTGGGGATTGGATGAGGAGATGAGGTCAAGATCAAAACAAATTCCTGTGGAAGCATTGATTTTTAATAGGTCTGACTTGGCAGCTGATTTCTATATCTCTGTTAGAATCAGTGATAGGGAAGACAAGGAGTATTTCCATTCAGGATGAATAGTAGAGCTTTAATTGGATGTTACCCTTTTACTGGTTTCTATTTAGCTGTGCAATGAGGTGGCAATGGTTTTGGTGGAAAACATTCCAGAGAGACTACTAAAACGCGCAAGAGAAATTTCCCTGGTGTGAATGTGTGGAATTAACTTTCTTGTCTCTAAAACAATGTCCCTTGAGAGTTTACCTACTTCAGTGTCTTGATGAATAAGGAGTAGAATCCCAAGTCTCCAAATGTTCTCAGTGCAGCAAACTTAAAACGCTTACTTGAAGCCTAATGCTATTTGGCTCAGTCCAGGATTGGTTCCCTGGAAATTGTGCTGTGAATGACTCAGGTCCTAGTGGCAAATCATCCTTTTCCTGCTCAGTTTTCCCAGACCTAGGAACTAAACGTGATGGTGCTGTTGCACTCATTCCTACCTGGAAATTTTGCACAAGCCGCAGGTTGGCCACTGTGTGGACAGGATGCAGGACAGCATGGCTTCTTGGCCTGTTCCAGCATAGTTGTTTTATGCTGTTATGTTGTTAACTTCCCAGTTACTCAGAGCATGAGGTAGGACTTTGCGAGGCTGAACTCCTTCCAGGCCCTTCTCTTAGCTCCAACACATGATAGAATACCTAGTGTCAGTAACTAGTTCAGATGGACAGGTTGTTGACACTACGCTGCATCACGGTGCTCATTCGGACACGCACCACGTCGGCACATCTGTAGAGTTGTTCCACCAATTCTCATGGGGTACCCTCTTTCATTTGCTTCTTACTTCATGCTCACATAGAAACAAAGTAGGTTTCTGTATTCAGAATGCATAATAGTTTTATGTATGCATTTGTGCTTTTTAAAATTCCTGCTAGAGATTTTATTCCATTCTGTTTTTATGATTGTGCTGGTTGTAATGGTTCTTTCATTTATTGTCGGCTGTCTAGAGGGCTTTTGTGGTAGAATGCTGATAATGTATTTGTGTCTTGTGTTCCTGGCCTCTGCCAGATTAAGCTTTGTGTAACTCAAGCTAAGATATAGGTCACCCACTGGCTGGGGATGATGGGAGTTGTAACCCACATTTGGAAGGTGCTGAGTTGGGGGTGGTTGCCCTAAGAAGATGGGGAGGGAGGATCTTCCTTTAGAGCCCACTTAACTCCCTTCACCTCCCTTTTTTCTCTTGGCTGGGTCTGAAGACACAGCTTTAAGTAATTCTTTTCCTGAAAGTAGCAGAAGGAAACATCATAAAACAAGCTTCCCAAATCATATTTCTTAAAAAAATCTGACGTGGTATTTTTAAAGCATTTAGCAGAAAACACACGTATCTTTCTGTCTGTCTATGCATATGCTTTCAGCTGAAAAACAGCACTTGAAGCACATAAAGCAACCCATCGAAAAGTTTTCTCAGCATTTATGAAAACAAAAAATAAGTCAAAAAATGCTAGTAGAATGAAAAAGCTGCAACCGAATCAGAACAGCCATCATAGTTTTAAAAAATCCATTCTGCCATCTGAAAATGCTGGGCCTTCACTTACTGGCACAAAGCCCATTTGATTCCCTGGCAGAAGGTGAACCCAGCCCTGTTTTCACCTCTTTTGGATAAAGAGGGAGCCAGAGACTCCCCTAAGATGTTCTGACACAAGATTATGTAGTCCAGGGATGCGCAACCAATGAATATTCCCTCCTCTCTTCTGACTGGAATCTCTGCTTTTGTATTACTAACAGCAGCCCAAAGCAGAAATGCCCTTCAGGGGCCCGGAAAAGTGGAGGCTTGGAGCAGCCAGCTTACCAGGTTCACTGTGGAAGCTGTGATGCCCACTGGACCTGCTGTTCTTTCTTCCTGTGCCTAAGTGACCCCGCATCAGCTTCCCACCCCAGCAGCCTTGCTGGGTTAGGGGTGAAAATAAATCCACCCCACCTCTCTTTGTGTGTGGAGGAGATGGAAGCAGCCAAAAGTGGAAACAGTGGTGCATCCTAGTAGCAGCATTTCGAGTGCTTGTGGAAGCAAGTTTAGGATTGCCCCCATACTTGGCGTCTCATCTGATCTAACCCCACTAGGGCAGGCAGAAGCACCATTTTAGATGGGCCTCGAATCATGACTGCTTTCTTGCTTGGGTTAAGTTTCAGGTTAGTAGTCCTTAACCATCCTGCAGTTGCAGTGCTTAGGAAATCTGCCCCTCTTCCTGGATTTTAATGAAAGCAATAAATGAAGCTTGGTTTGTCGTCCCTCTGGGGATACTGCATGTGCTATGAGCCAGATGACAGCATGGCTTGGATCCTGACCTGGCAGGAGGTGGGCCAGGCAGCCAACAGCACAACCCACAGAGATGCTGGAATTGAACGCTGACACGGATAGCTCTCCAAACCTGAAACCAAGCCAGGATCTCCTCTTTACCACTTTTTCTGGGGTTTGGGTATTGAACTCTTTCAGCGGAGGGGGCAAATTCCATTTCAAAGAAGGTTGAAGGGCCATCTTCAGATATTTGGCAGTACTGATGAGGCCAAAATACCAGTGTATTTTAGCATAAAGCTTTTCGCTGCCAGTGAATAAGCTTTAGGAGAACAATTCCACCCTTTTAGGATGTGTGTGTGGGGGAACTGCAGAAGTGCCAAGAAACCACCAACCCTTAGTGGTTCAGAGAAGTGGGGGTACATTCTGAAAAGGCCAGAATTGCTTTCTAGAGGGCTGAATTTGGTTCCTAGGCAGGTCGGTTTTAGTTTCTGGGTCTGAGATTCTGTACCCCTGTTCTAGGGCCTATGCAAAGCCACTCTGAAATTACTGTACTAAGTTACCAGCTGAAATTCTCATGTGCAAAAATGGCTGGCGTCAATAGAAAGAAAGGGGCAATGCCGAAACTGGATTTTTGCGCAGTGAAAGCGTCACTGACCTGTACTCCTTTTCCAACAGGGTATAAGGAGCCCATACAGATCCTGAATGATGTTATAGCCCAGCTGGATGCAGTTGTCAGCTTTGCCCATGCGTCAAATGGAGCGCCGGTGCCGTATGTACGCCCAACAATTCTGGAAAAGGGACAAGGGAGGATTGTTCTGAAAGGGGCACGACACCCCTGCATTGAAGTTCAAGACGATGTGGCCTTCATCCCGAATGACGTAATCTTTGAGAAGGGCAAGCAGATGTTTCATATTATTACTGGTAAAGCCTGCATTTATCTACCATGTTTTGGTTGCTTCCCATCCTAGTTTTGAATTGTGTTGTGATGCCTTTAAAACGGTCTGTGGCTTAGCCTCAAAACAGACAGGGAAAAGTGTGATTGTTTCTCCAAATGGGCATTTTGCATTTGATCTTTTTGGTGGGGGGGTGCATTTTCAGGTGAGCTTAATATTTAGGTGGCTGTACAATTGGTCTACCATACATGTTAGTGGGAGGTGACTGTCCTTGCAAATGTAGAATTAAATGTGGCAGTCAGTGGCTGCTGGCCTGGTGGCTGTGCTTATGGTGGAAGAGTTCTGGAGCAAACACACGTCTACAGTTTGTTCCTTCTTAGTACTTGTTTCCCTCCCCTTCAGTTTTTCCAGGAAGTCCCTGATAGGAATGACTTTTTTGTTCTGCTCTTGCCCCAGCCTGAGTTTATTACTGGTGACTTTTTGTTTTGGAAGAGAAGATACTGCAGTGTTTCTTTAGTGAGCCTTCATCTCTGTTGACCTTATGCTTTGCAATAATAGAAGCAGTTATGGAAGAATGGATATTTCAGAAATGAAGAAAACTTAGTTCATAGCAGGAGGAGAGCCCATTCATGGTCTGAAGACACATTCTGGCCCTGAGCTGGCCCATTTCATCTCCAGCCTTTATTTATTTATTCATGTCTTTTATAAACCATTCAGTTAGCAACCGTGCTCAGAATGATATACAAATTATAAGCATATATTCTTACATTCTTCTCAGGAAGAATGAGGCAAAGTCAGTTTGAGCTTGGCTCACCAAGACTGGCAGTGGCAGCAAGGAAGGGGTTGGGTTCTTGAGAAGAAACAGGAGTAACTCTCCAAACAGGAAGTAGCAGCTTATTTGCAAAGGTTGCCAAACAGAGAAGTCCCAACTAACCAAAATGGGGCTTGGGAAGGCCAAGATGGGGCTCCTTGCCAGAAATGCAGGTAAAAGAGGGTGATAGGTGGGGAGATGCCCTGTAAGAAAGAGACACTTGTGTTCTGTGTCATCAAGTCTTCTCCAACATATGGTGAGCCTGTGGATGGAAGCCCGCCAAAATGGCCTGCCCATGAAATCCTTTCAACAATTCCAAATTCAAAACTGCGGCTTTCTTTATGGATTCACTGCATCTCATATTTGGTCTTCTCTTTGGTCTTCTGCCTTTGACTTTCCCTAATACGATTGTCTTCTCCAGTGCATCTTGCCTCATGATATACACCAGCCTTTATTTTTGCTTCTGAGGAAAGCTCTGGCTTCATTAGATCTAGCACCCACTTGTTTGTCTTTCTGTCAGTCCAAGGATTTGCAAAGCTCTCCTCCAGCACCGTGTTTTGTCAGCTTTTTTTACTCTCCAGCTTTTACACTCATACATTTGATTGGGAATACAATAGTTTGGATGATTTACAGTCCTTAAATATGGAGAGCTGCTTCCTATTATAACTAAGGGAAGCCAAATAAACCACCAATGGGAAAACCAGAACCATGAGCATATTTTGCATGAAAACAGAGCAAGGCACATTAGCTGGTCTCTTTCATGCATGAGCCCAGATGAGGCAGATAGGACCTAGTAATGGAAATGCATAGTAAGGAGAAGGGCATTGCCAAAGCCTATGTTGCTGTGCATGCTGGGAAAAGGAACCTTTTGCCTGCTGCCTTGATCCTGGCTCTAATGAGTATAAGTCAGCAGGTGAGTTCCAGGTGAGATGATTATCACTGGTTGTCACCTTGTTCTAACTCTCATGAGATTCTCATTGGCTTATATGTGTTCAGATTATCTGTGTTATTAAAAATGAAATTGGTGGCATGCCAAAGTTAGCAGCAGTTTCCAAAGATTTCCCCTTCCTACCTGCTGCTTCCACGAGGACAAGGTACAAGCTGAAATGTGTATTAAAGCAGGGTGCCTTTCTTCTGTAAAATTAATCAGATTGTGTTAAACTACAGATGCATCTTAGGTTGCTGAAAAGACCTTCTGGCTGGGGCTTAGGAAACCAGGGCTACTTCTTTAACTTCTTGGCTATACTTGCCCTACAGGACCAAACATGGGAGGAAAGTCCACCTACATCCGTCAGACAGGTGTGATCGTTCTAATGGCACAAATTGGATGCTTTGTGCCATGTGACTCTGCAGAAGTGACGATTGTTGATTGCATCCTGGCTCGAGTAGGAGCGGGAGACAGCCAACTGAAAGGGGTTTCTACCTTCATGGCAGAAATGTTGGAGACGTCATCCATCCTAAGGTAAGAATTGTGTTGTCCTTTCCTGAGTAGGGTACCTGAAACATGCAAGCACCTTTGCAGGTTTAAGGATCTCCCTTGAGGGGCTTCTATCCTAGGACAAGTATGTATGTATGTATGTATGTATGCCGCCCCATTCGCAAAAGCCTTGGGGCGGCTTCCAATACAAATAAATAACTATACAAATACATAAAAACTGGAAACATCCTGGCATAAATATAAAATCAATAAATAAATTCAACAATTAAAATAACGTTTAAATGAAAAGGTCTTGGCCTGGTGCTGAAAAACAAATAATGATGGCGCCAGGCAGACCTCTCTGGGGAGCACATTCCATAAAGTAACCTTTAGATTAAGCCTCCCTGAGGCTTAGGTGAATGGGGCGGCATATAAGTTTTCCAGATAGATGGATGGATGGATGGATGGATGGATGGATGGATGGCTGGATAGATGGCTGGATAGATGTCTGGATAGATGGCTGGATAGATGGCTGGCTGGATGGATGGATGAACCTTCTGATGGGCTTTTGCATGCCTGCTCCTGTTGTGATTCTGCACTGGACCACCTTTGTTTTCCCTTGATCTTTTTGCCCAATGAAGTTTTTTTCTGGGGGAACTTCTTGAAGTACTTCGTAACTTTTATTCAGAGCCCCTTAATCTCTACTCTTCTAGGAGCCTTCTAATGGGTTCAGAATTCTTCTTTTACCAGCTTCCTTCTATTTTCAGTTTACCAGTTGTGAATGTGGTTTTTCATGCAGCCCAGACAGCATTACCCCCATTCAGGAGATGTATCAGCAAACTCAGGGCAACCCCAAGGCTTGTGGAAACGCAGTCTTCAGAGACAGTGAGGACTGAGACTGTTGAGGGCGGGGACAGAAAATGAGGAGTTGGGGGTGGGTGGGAGCATAGACTGCAGCGGCTGGAGCCCAGAACACTCCCACCTGCTGCAATGTGCTGTTGCACATACTGCAGAGTTCTGGTTGTACAAACCTGCCCATTTTTGAGATCATCCAGGGCAGCTTTGCTTGGGATGTTACTGGTTGCGGCAGCAAAGTGGGTGGCTGCCAGAGTTTATTGGATGAGCTCTACCGGAAGAACAGCACAGAAGTATGCTGAACGTGGCGTGTAGCAAATGCATGTTCAGGAAGAGCATGCCGCAGCCAGTGTGCCATAATGGGAAAGTCGTTTCCCCTGTGTTTTAATCCCTGGGGCCTGGTCCAGCCAAGGCACCTCACTGTAGATCTGAGGATATGTAGGAGGCAATGAAACCACAGACAGTATCCAGTTTATCAATATTGTTGGGAGGTCTTGCAAAACAAGAGCACAAATACAGCATTCTGCCTCTGGTATTCCCCATTGAGAGCCGTGCTGCCTTTGATCCTCTGCTATGCAGAATAGCCATTAGATAGCCACCTCTTTCATGACAAGGCAGGGACTGATGGTGAGTTATGTATCCATCTGTCTGGACACTGTGATCAGGATCAGGGGCCCACTTCCAGTTGCTACCTCTGAAGGAGACTTACTTGGTGGCACCAAGGAGAAGGACCTTTTCAGTGGTAACCTGACAATTATGGAATGAGCTCCCCACTGAGGCCTGCCTGGCACCAGCCTTAATATTTTCTTGGTGCCAGGTTAAGGCTGTCCTGTACCACCAGGCCTTTAGTTAGTTTACTGGTTTTTTGGTAGCTGCTTAAACCGGTCTTACGATTTACTTTGTTTTAAGTTATTGTAATTTTTATATGTATTTTAAATTTTTGCATGGTAAACTTTAATGATGCTTTAATGTGGTTCTTTACATACTGTATTTTTATGTTTTGTAAATCTCCCAGAGAACATGGACTTTTGAGCAGTAAGGACATTAATTAAATTCATAAAAATTAATAATAATTTGTCCAAGACTATCTCATGAGCTTTTCCTTGCATTACTATGTGAACCTAAATTTTCTTGGACCAATGTATGTGTGCACACGTTCCCTGAACTACTCTGAGTAAAAGTACTATTTAATGCTTTTTCTTATATGGTTTATAAGACATTTATTGGCTTTCACATTGGTTTTTCTGTTGTATCCATTTTTTCATGAACTGCTTGGAAAACCTTGACTGTCATGCTGCATGCAGCTGAAATCAATAAACATATGAATGTTCGCACAGAAACCTCCCACAGGAGAAAAATGCCTTATCAGTTGACGTGAGCTGGCCCACGAAAGTGTGTGCCACAACACATGCTGTTTGCTTTTGGAGCTGTTCTAAATTTTTAACCACTTTAGGAGTCCAATATGCTATTTTTCATTTTAGAACTGCAACAGAAAACTCACTAGTAATCATTGATGAGCTGGGAAGAGGAACATCTACGTATGATGGCTTTGGATTAGCATGGGCAATCTCAGAATATATTGCCAGCAAAATTGGCGCTTTTTGTATGTTTGCTACTCATTTTCACGAACTGACAGCACTTGCTGACCAAATCCCTTCTGTGAATAACCTGCACGTCTCAGCGCTAACGACCGAGGAGACTCTGACAATGTTGTACCGCGTGAAAAAAGGTGAGGCGTACTTGACAGCCAAGGTGGAGGAAATCATCCTCGCTTACTCCAGGATTAACACCCCATTCCTTCACAAAGTTGACTAATTGCCTCAAATACTTTTTATAGTTTTAATGTGGCAGTTGTATCTTTCGTGGTTTCCTCATCGCTTCACTGTTATCCTTTCCTTCAGTGACTTGGTGCAGATGTAACATCTAACCACAGTTAAATATTATGTCTGGATGCCAAACCCAGGTTTGGGAGTGAGTACAAATCATGATGTGCAGCTGTGTTTGAAGCAATTCAATAGCCATTCTTTGGAAGTGCCATCCAGTTCATATAATCCATGGTTTATTCTTGGGTTGTAACTCTGTCTTGTTTCTCCTACAGCTGCCCAGAGTTCAAGGTTTGCATGTCATAGAGACCAACTCAGAACCCATTAATTAACTCAGCCAAAATTGCTGAGCATTTGAGCGCATGCAAACAATTCTTGCATGCTTCTAGTTACGTGTTGCCTTGTTGTGTGAATCAGGTCAAAATCTGCACTATTTATGGAGAGGTACAAAATTATGCATGGTGAGGAAAAAGCAGATAGGAAGACATTTCTCTCCCTATCTCTTAATGCCAGAAACTGGGGATGGGCCACGAAGCCGATTGGTTGGAGATTCAGGACAGATAAAAGAAAGTACTTCCTCACACAGTGCATAGTTGATACTATAGAACTCCCTTCCATATGATATGGTGATGACACCAATCCTGATGGCTTTAAAAGAGGGTTGGATAAATTCCTGGAAGAGAAAGCTGTCAGTGGTTCCTAGTCCTGACAGCCATATGCTGCCTCCAGGATCAGAGGCACTGCGCCCGTGTACACCATTTGCTAGGGAGCATGGGCGGGAGCGTGCTTGTGTGCTCATTTCCTGCCTGTGGGTTACCCGTGGGCAGCTGCTTGGCTGCTATGTGAACGGAGTGCCAGTCTAGGCAGACTCGTGGTCTAATCCGACATGGCACTTCTTGTGTTCTTACTCAAATTTAAAAGACTAGGGATTGCCAGCAGATCAGTTAACAACATCCAGTACTGGTAATAAAATATACTTGCATTAATCAGTTCCCCCAGGCCTCTTCCAATTCTACTACTCTATGAAACAGTTCATGTTGGGAGACCTAACAACCGGTTAGCATATCCAGATCAAACTCAGGAGCACAAGGGAAGGAAAAACCTCAGGGCACATCATTAGCCCAGCCTCACTGAGGTCCCACATCCTGTGCAAAGAATATTATTATTATCATTATCATTATCGTTACTACTGCTACTACTACACTGAACGCCTACTACAGCTTTTCCTCTTGTGAGGAGCTCAAGGCAGCTTACTAGCTCCTCTTTATCCTCAAGTGAATCACCCTGTGAGAGAGGTTGGGCTGAGAATCTGGCTGGAAGTCATCCAGTGAGCTTCATGGCCACGTGGGACTAGAACCTGGATCTCCCAGGTCTGCATTCTAGCACTCTAACCATTATGCCACATTACTTCTCTAATTTGCTCCTGATGATGCACCCAAGGAGCATTTTCCCTTTGCCCTGTTCTCTTAACTTGGGTAGTTTTTCCCACTTAGGTATGTATGCTGTGACAAAAGTTAAAAGCCTCCTGAATCACAGTGAATTTTAAATAGGTCCATTTAACAGATAGATGTGTTGTTTCCCCTTCTGGGGGCTGAAACTGCTGGTGCTTCTTCCAGGGGCTTGTGATCAGAGCTTTGGCATCCACGTAGCGGAACTGGCTGCGTTTCCCAAGCATGTCATTGCTTGTGCCAAGGCAAAGGCTCTTGAGCTGGAGGAGTTCCAGAACATCAGAATGCCTGAGGAGGAGGAGGATGACGACGACAATGACGAAGACAACAAAGAGCCAGCGGCCAAGAGATGCTATAGAGAGAAGCAGGTTTGTTCACCTTTAATTCATCCAGTTGCCTCTTAAATTTTTTACATAGAGCTTATGTCCTGTTCATCACATTTATATTTTGCCACTATTCCAGCACGATTCTTTCCCTCTCCAGTTTATCTTCTGACAACTTTATGAGGTAGGCTAGGCTGAGAGTAGGCGATCCCTTCCAAATCCCCCAAGTTGACCCTTTTTTGTGATTCGTTGCAAAGGTACCTTGCCAAGAAAGCAGCGGGTGGCAGCGACACTTCTGTATGTGCATCAGGGGCTATAAATATGCTCACAGACTTTCAAATATGCTTTTCTCCTTGTTTTCACGGTAGCACTGTGAGTGCCTTTCCCTCTGCGGCTTGTTCAGATGCATGTAGGAAAAGGATGGAGGGAGCATCAATTATGAATGGAATGTGGATGATTCAGTTGCATATACTTTTTACACTTGCTTTGAGAAAGGTGCAATATTGAACTCCAGACAGATTAAATAACATCTTTTAATATTTAAGTGCCCAAAATGCTACACAGAGTGAGCAGACTTTCCCCACCTGTGGTGGAGAAGCCACCACATTCAAAGCTTTTGGTTTCAGATATTGGCTATTACTTTCCAAATAATGCTAAATTATTTGGATGAGAATTAACAGGAGTCTTGCAGACTGCTTTTGTTAAATCTTTTATTAGTAGCTAATACAGCATTAGTCTGGTAATGGAAATCAGCAATCCCAATAAGGAGTCGTTGATCAAGGACTTCGGAATCACAGAAAGGAGTGTATTAAGCAGATGAGGGATGCGGCAAAAGAAACCGATCCAGACTCCTAGCTCAGTTTGGAGTTTGGTTGGTGGGGCAATGCTGCTGGTTACCGGAGAACGCCATTTGCTGTACCTCATGATTGTGCAGCTCCTGATAGCCTTGAGTTCTTAGCACTTAATATGGTTGAAGAAGTGGCTTCTAGTTCCCCCAAACAGATGTCACATCAGTTCACTAGCATTCTGTATCAGACTTGTTTAACTGTGACAAAGCACTATGACAACCCTTCTGGGATGTAGTTCATGAAACGGGCTGGATTCCATTTCAGAAATGCTCTTGGGGTGCTGCCTTCTTATGGTGGGTACGGCAGAAGGCAAAGGAGGGGAGGTTGAGTAACTAGAAATGCCAGCATATTTTAGCTTAAGAGAGGTTTCTGCTTTTTAGATTATGGAAGAAGCTGCCCAGAAGCCAGGAAACCATTAAGCAAAAGGCTGTCAGGAGGTGGGGAAGATCAGAGAACACCTGATGATGGAGGCAAACAGGCATAGCTATCTGGAGCTCCCCAAGGAAAGCGGGGGGTGGCTTGGTACTCCAGGCTAGGTGACCTCAGCTCAGGGGTTGAGAGTCAATGCATCTGTAAACCTTTATCATTCAGTTCAAAATTATGAGCAAACTTAATCTAGAGTTGTCTTTTATAACCTTGGATCTCCAGCTGTTCGACTGCTGACTGGGGATGATGGGAGTTGTGGCTTGACAGCTGGAAACCTGCTCCAGGCAGTGGAAATGTTAATAAAAGGAATGGCATTAAGAACACATCTGCAGGCCTCAGCGGATTTTAAGCTTTTAATGTACAGCAGTAAGGGAAGCTTTGCAAGCTAGTATTGCTTCTAGAACTGAGCAATCACCTAGGCAGTTGTTAATACAGCAGCTTTTGTTCAGTGCCAAATATTCCTCCTAAAGCATGAAAGCCAGAGGATGAAAAGTTATCCTTGATCCAGTGCTATCAGTTTTCCACTAAACTGTTTCCTGTGTTCCTATGTTTTTGTCAGCATAGTCAATAGGAGTTGTAGTCCAACCACACATTCCCCATCCCTGCTATAAAGGAATCTTTGGAGCATGGAAACCAAAGGCTGAACACCATTTTTTTCCTTTTCCAGGAAGGTGAAAAAATAATCCAGGATTTCCTTTCTCAAGTGAAAGCGATGCCCCTGGCGGACATGTCTGAAGAGGACATCAGAGCCAAATTGAAGCAGCTCAAAGACGAAGTTCTGACAAGGAACAACGGCTTTGTAAATGAAATCATTTCCCAAACAAAAGTTGTTTCATGACATGAGCAAACAGAAACACACATACTTTTCAGGGTGGAAGTTCACATCACGCTGAACCAATCCAAGGCCATTGCAGGAAATGGTGCAAAGCACCCGATGCAGCATGGCCTTCCCTCAGATTTCTCTGTCCTGCTAATGGTAGTCAACAAAGCGCAGTTGGGGATTTGGGAAGTTTGCAGTGGGGCATCCCACCACAGGCTACGTGCTCCTGAAAGCTGCAGGGAAAGAACGGTTTGTCACAGGACTATTAGTTCGGGTGCCAGCTGTATCCTAGCGGTAGTTCTAAGCTCAACAGAAACAATAATGATTCACTTGCCTTGTGTTGTCATGTTTTGTTCTGATCTCTCTAACAGCTCTCCTGCATTTGTTTTCCTTTCTAAATGTAGGCATTTGTGCCAGCTGTAATGTTTTCTTCTCTATGACAATTTTGAATAAACTCTGCCTTCTACTCCAGTTTTAAGAACCATGTTAATCTCACAGAAATAAAAGCAGTTGTGAAGTTTCATGACTTTTGACTGGGTGCTCTTACAAGTGTAGGTACTGTATTTAAAATGCCACAACAGGCCCTAGTTTGTGGAAGGGTTGCTCTTTCCACACAACTTTACTGAGGGAAATGTAACCTTAGAAGGGGCTCTGACAACCCAGTCCTATGCTAGCTTCTACACAAAAACAAATATCACTGTATTCAGTGGGACTTCCAGTAAGGTAGCATTTATAGTCTTTTGAATTCAGTCTGTTGAATGGATTCCAGCAGTAAAAAGCATTTCGACGAAGGAAAAAAGAAAACATTTCCTTCAACAGACTAGATGGGTGAGAATGTGCATGAGCTGCATCTTGCCATGCCTTCTCACCTGGGAAGAAAGGAGACAAAGCTATTTGTTTGTAATTAAACTGGAAAACTGGAGGAGTCTCCCCCTTTGCTGGAGTATGTTTGCGCTGACACTGGAGCTGCAGCAGGAATGCCAAGAAGATGAAGCCTTACAGCTTAAATTGTGCTGCTATTGAGGAAACCCAAGTGCCACCTAAATGTCAGCCCTGCGTACAGATGAGATGTTCTTTTTCTTGCTTATTCACACTGGTATTCGTCCTAAGAAGGTACTGAGTGCTTATGACATCTACAATATTAGTAATGTTCACAGGCTTTCAATTAAGGAGGAAAATAGTATTTAGTAGGAGTGAAAGACCCTTTGTGCAAAGCATGGCTTAGACTGGTTTCATTTCAAGATACTGCTGTCCTGTAAAATGATTACTTCTGCTGCCGTTCTGTGGTGGCAAATAGGAGATTATATGGTAGAGTGGTGTGAAATACATAGGCAAATGCCTTTTCAGTCTTTCACTTTTTAAAAGCAAAATCTGCAGTATATTAAGTCATCACTTGGATTCTTTATCAGAGTGGTGGCCTTTCAGTCCTAAGGCTGAATTCAAAGCCTGGAAAAGCTGTAATGGGTCATATCATAGTAGTGGGCAAAGCTAAAGACAAAGGATGTAGTAGTGTCAAAAGCAAAAGAGGACAGAATACAATACAGTGAAATGCCATCATGCTGTATTTTCAAAGCTTTTCTGGCAGTAGCAAAGCCTCAGGAGAGGCAAGCTCCAAATGATCACTGGTTTGGTGGAAGTGGGGTGGATCCAGAGGAAGAGAGTGGAGCCCTCTGGGGGCGGCTGGTGTGGGACACCCAGCCCTGATCTTCCCTGCCTCTGCTCTAAAGGACATCCTGGGTGTGCAAAGAAGTGCAACACTTCTGCTACTTGCAGAACCGTGTTTTCATCCTTGCACAAGTGTCACATCCATTCGCTTGGTTCAGCTGGGCCGTTGCTCTGCACAAACTCTTAACAGGTCATTGCAAAACTATTCCACATGGTGTTTAGCAAACCATTGCCAAGCACTCGCACAAACTTCATCTCAATTTTCTTAGGTGTTTGTATGAATTCTAGCAGCTCTGCAACCACTAGCCAAATGATACGAACTCTTGTAATTTTTCCACTGGCATAATAGGATATCTATTTGCATTCATATATTGCCTTATTTGCTAAAAAGCCATCATGGTGGTATACAACCCTTTAAATAATAACACCTTAGAACAATACAAACAACATTAAAAACAGGCAGAACATCACAACTTCCTATTTCAAAAGGCTAAACTGAAAAGATGCATCTTCACACTCGTGCTAAAGGCGCAGGGAGTGTGGCCAATTGTAGTTCTTGAGGGTACACATTCCATAGTTTGGGGGCATCACAGGAAATGGATCTTCTACACATACTTAGCAAATGTTGCGAATGGTGCCGTCAAAATGCTTCTGCAGAACTTAACACAAGGGCAGGTTCATAAATGGCTCTTCAGCCAGGTCCTAAGCCTTTTAAGGTGGAAATCTTAAAACCAGCACTCTCCATTGTTCTTGGAAAACTATTGGCAACCAGTGCAGGCATTTCAAGGCAGACGTAATATGGCTTCAAAGAGTGGGCACTGCTTGGCAGCCCATTTGAAGCTTCCAGATACTGCTCAGGTCTAGCTTACTGAAGAACACACTCCCTCTCAAGTCTCAGACAGTGCCCTTTCCCACAATCGCTACTTGAAAGCCTCTTTGTTGGGGATGCCAGCAGTGAACCTGGCATCTTATTTCTGATTTTTCTTAGCTACTTCTGGAAAAGCTCAAAATACTTGTTTCATGATTTTGGCAAGCTTTGGGTGAAGAAATGTTGCTATGTTGGGCTTCTTTCTAAGTCCACAGTATGTAGCTGGTGACTAATTCATTAGATTAAGCTATCCTTCCTCAATCTACTGGAATGAGGAGAATTCCAATCTGGTGCCTGCTGGTTAGGCCTCATCTGGAGTCCTGTGTCCACTTCTGGGCACCACAGTTTAAGAAAGATGCAGACAGCTGGAAAGGGTTCAGAGGAGAGTTACCAGGATGATCCAGGGACTGGAAACAAAGCTCTGTGAGAGGAGATTGAGAGAACTGACTGTGTTTAGCCTCAAGAAGAGAAGACTGAGGGGGAAGAAGGATAGCAGTCCGTAAGTACTTAAAGGGTTGTCACAAAGAGGAAAGCCATCATCTCTTGATCATCCCAGAGTGCAGGACACAGAAGAACGAGCTCAAGTTACAGAAAGCCAGTTTCTGGCTAGATATCAGGAAAAGATGAGTAAAGCCGGCTGGAGCCGGAGGTGAGACTAGATAGCCCTGGAGGTCCCTTTTGACTTGCTCTGTTTCTATGTTAGAGCAGTACGATAATGGGTCCAATTACCTAGAGAAGCATTACCCAATTCCCACAGTAGAAGCATTCAAGATGCAACTTGACAGCTATCTGAGAGGGATGGTTTAACTGAAGTGTCCTTCACTGAACAGGGGGTTGGACCCTCTGACCCTTCTAACTCTACTATTCTATGATTCATTCCAGTGTAGCATTTGTAGTTCACATCGGGTGGGCAGTAGGCTGGCTAAAGGTACGTTCATCTATTAAGCCCATGTTGATCAATTAGGATGATATCCATCTCAGAACAGGCAATTTTCTTTCTCTCCCACACTTTGAAGATGGGACCTGCTGTGATCCACACATGTGCATGCATTACCTAAATATCATCGTCTTTTCTTCAGAACACGTTTGATGAAGATTTAATCAAACCTCATTTAATTTGAACAATTTCTACTTTATATTCATTGAGATGGTTGGCTTGACAGATGTTGTGAAATCACTGTAGGTTTTGATATGGGAAATCCTTGACTTAAGTTGCCAGGGGTGCTTTGTCTTGAGATTGAAAGAGATGAGAAACTGTGTTGCATTTGTAGGTTAGCTATGCGATTGAATGTGAGTGTTCTTCAGGCATCTCTACCACAGTGCAGTGAATACAGGTTGAGCTGGAGGGCTTGGGAGAATGCAGGAAATGAACCAGAGGGATGGCTATAAGTGAAAATGAAACAAGGGCAGCTTTGGATAGAATGTGGAGTGTTTGTGTTGGACATGGAAGATGGCAGATGGACAATCAACAGTTTGATATGGTTGGAAAATATGGCAAGACGAACTATGTGCAAAACAGGAAGATCTCAGTAGATGAAGTCCTTCACACCTGCCTGCCACTAGGGGTAGATAGGCTGGGTAGTACTGAGGTGGGGACACTTTTTCTTGGTGGTCATGCCCTTCTGGAATCGGGTTCATCTGGCTTGTTATTTTCAGGTCCTCAGGAATTCTCTGAAGATCCACTTGTTCTTGCTGACCTCACAAACTGCAGTTTTTATTGGTGCTATTTAATTACTATAGTTATATCCCAATTTTCCTGCAAGGAACCCATGGCAGTTTATATAATCCTTTTTACTTTATCCTCAGAACAACTTCATGAAGACGGTTAGACTGAGGGTCCATAAGTGGCCCAAAGGCACCCCATGAGCTTCATGGCCAAGTGGGGATTGGAGCCCAGATCTCTCGGGTCCAAGATCTCAGTAACTACCACTCCGCACTGTTTCTCTGTACTGGCCTGGCTATCTGTCTATAGCATCTATAATAATATTGTATTGGATATACATTATTTCTATTTGTTTTTGCTTATTTTTCTATTGTTTACATCTTGGTTCTGCCCTTAAAAGTTAGTGGCTTAAAAATATATCCTGTCCTCATAGCTATACATTGAGCTAGGATGTCAAGTTACCTTTGCTGAGCTGGAAAGGCATGGTCTGCAGCCGGATGGGTGACCATATGTGGGAGTGGAGTGGGGCGGGGGGGGGGGGGGGCTTTATGGGCCCCTTCCGACTTCTCTTCCCATTATATTACCATTATAATGGATAGCCATTCTGGTCCTTCAGGCATAATGGCCCAGACGGAGATTGGCGAAAAAGCCCATGGCACCATCTTACTGCAGCAACTTGTCCACAGGATCCCTCAAGGTTTCTGCCTGCCCGAGCTTCTCTGCAACTGGACATGCTGCCTCTGCTAACAAAGTTCGCCAGCAAGGCTCGTAGCCACTGATAGTCTTCTCCTTCATCGATTTCTCAAATCCCTTTTTGAAGCCCTCCAAATTGCTGGCCATCACTACTTCCTGTATCAGTGAATTGCATCCTTTAAATGCCTTGTGAAAGAAATGCTTCCTTTTATCCATCCTGAATCTCCCACCAATCAGCTTCAGGGGATGGCCCTGGGTTCGAGTGTCTTGGGAGAGGAGAAAAATGTCTCTCATTCTGCTTTCTCCACACCAGGCACAATTGTAAACACCTCTATCATGTCTTCCTGTACTCAACTTTCATTTTAGCTACACAATCCCTGTTATTATAACCATTTCTTCATCATTTCATCAACCATTTCTTCTCTGTACTTTCTGGAATATTATTACTCCACTTTATGGAGTATTGGGAGTCTCATGAATTCTACTCATGAGTTCTTCAGCATAAAGGCAGGATGTCATGAGTAAAAACATTATGCTATCCAGCATGTTGCTAAGCTAAAGAAATGTCTTTGTTTATTTATA